AAAAAAAAAAAAAAAATATATATATATATATATATGGTAGCTTATTGCTGTAAGGGGCAACTATTATTAATTTTTTTTCCTTTGCCCTGATCCAATTATCTTGTAAGTTTTTGCTTTTTGAGATGAGATCTCGTCGTTGCCTGGGCTAGAAAGGTGTCATCACAGCTCACAGTAACCTCAAACTTCTGGGTTCAAGCAATTCTCCTGCCTCAGCCTCACAAAGTACCTGGGACTACAGCCATGCAGCAGTACCCGGCTAATTTTTATATTTTCTATAGAGACAAGAGCCTGCATTGCTCAGGCTAGTCTCAAACTGTTGGCCTTAAGAGATTCTCCTGCCTCCGCCTCCCAAAGTGCTAGGATTACAGACGTGAGCCACTACACCCGACCACTATTACTAATTATTGTTACTATAACGCCTGTGACCCAACAGGTTTCTAGAGATCCTCTGAGACTCAGGTTGCCTGTCCGGGTTTGATACCTGTAAGCTCCGCCCCAAGACTCTCCTGACCGGCCGCAGCCCCCAATCCAGCTGGCCCAACGCCCACCACTCACCATCTCCTTGCGCAGCGCAGCTAGCGCCGAGTCCAGGTTGACAGGACGACGCTGTGCGGCCGTGGGTCCCGTGCTGGCGGCGTGGCGGGTCCCGTCTGGGGCGCGGGCGGCGCGACTCAGCTCATCGTGGATGCGGCTGCGCTGGCTATAGACGCGCTCCAGCTCCCGCCACGAGCCCCCACTCGCGTTAAGGAGGCCGCTGAGGCCGCGCGGCAGCGGAGGGAGCCCGGCCAGGGAGCAGCCCGTTCCGCCCGGAGCCTCCGCTGAGGGCAGCCCATTCATGGCCGGGCCGGCGATGCCGCCCTCCTTCCCTCCGACGCTCCGCCTGGGCAGCCCCCCGCAGTCCCTAGAACCCCGGGAGCCCGGTCGGCCGAGCCCAGCCTCCACCCGCAGGCCGCGCTTTGTTCCTTCCCCAGCTCCGCAGACTCCGCCTCTTCCCCACCCCCTCCGCTGGGCCGGGCCTCTCTTAAAAAGGCAATGGCTGTAGGACCACGTTTCTCAAAGCGGAGAAAAGGTAATGAGGCACGCACCGAAGGAGACAGGGAAAAGAGGGCAGGCGTGGTTCCTTCGCGGCTCTGTTTGCTACCTTCTTCCACCCACACACTTTATTCTGCCCAATTACCCTCTCAAGGAAAAGGATCTAAAGAATAGAGGTCAGAGACTGGGGGAAGTCCATGCTTGGCTCCTAACGTGCAACCTGTCACTTAGGTCACAACCTTCTGTCAATGTCTTAGTACCCAGGGTAGGCATGAGATGGTAGAGGATGACAGAATCAGGATGCTCTGCAAAAGGAAGTCACCCAAAGAGACTGGAACCCCAAATCTCACTTGCAGGTGGGACATGGGCACTGGATGGACAATGAGTCAAGGGTACAGCCAGAGACAAGGCCAGTGGTCCACCTCTCCTATTCCTGGCTTTGAAAAGGCCATGCCTAGTCCTTAGAGGAGGAGTATCACATAGCCCTCTACACATCCCCTTATCCTCTGACAGGGGAAACTGAGCAGAAACAAGCTCAACTCATCTCTCACAGCATCAAGGAAAACAGAGAGAGAAGCCAAAAGTAGGAAAACGATGAGTGGAGATAGGGCCTGCATGCACACTCACGATCAAAAAAAGAACAAACCACACACAGAGGAACAGCTGTTTTTCTAGAGGGTTTTTCTCAGGGGTGTCTCTTAGTGCTGCAGCTGCTGCAGGCTGTGCAGGGCCTCTGCACATGCCCGGATAAGGCCACACAGCTGGATGCTAGTCTCCAGGGACGTGCTAGAGCCCAGCTCAGCTGAGGCCCAGGCCAGCTTCTGCAAGAGGGCTGACTGTGTGCAGGCCACCACATCTGCATTTGGAGACACAGAAGGAGGGGGCGGGCCCTGGGCTGCCTTGAGCCCTGCTGCAGCTCCCTCACAGTGCTCTGGTCGGGGTACCGGGGGCTGAGGGGGCTGAGGGACAGGCCGAGAGGCTGAGGGGAGCTCTGCAGCATTGGCGAGCTGGTGCTCCCGAGCTTGGGAGAGCGCAGCCTGGGCATTCAGAGCTAAAAGAGGAGAAAGTGGGTGGAATGGTCAGGATGTCTGGCCCACCTCTGCCCTGAGTCACCTCGTTTCTATTGCTCTGCCCTTTCTGTAGTTGAGGTGTTTTCTCTACCCTGCTATAAGGCAATTCATTCACTTTCTATTTTGTATCACGGTTATTTATGCCCTAGAGAAAGCATCTTACCCTGCCCACCCATAAAGTCCCTGTCACCTCCTAGGCCTATTGTTCACAGGCATCTATCATCACTCACTAAGACTCTTCTCCACTGAGCCCTCCCACCCCTGACCCTCGGATTATTTCTACCCTCACCTGGATTATCTTTATCCACATCTGAGTCGAGCTCCTGACAAGCCACGCAGTAGATTTTCCGCTGTTTGTCTTGCAGGAGGATCGTCTAGGGATCAGAAAGCACAGAGGGCAGGGGTGAGACAGCTGGGCGATGGGCTCTCTAGGAGAGAGCTGAGAAAAGGACCTACGGCCTGACCCACAGCCGTATCTCGGGTCACTCGCCCGAGTCTCTCCTCACCCCGCAGTCCGCGCACGTCTCGCCCAGCATGCGGTAACCGCGCAGCAGGTAGTCGCCCATGAGCCGGGAGATGCGATCCTGCCGCTCCCGCCGCGCCTGCAGCACCTTTGTCTCTGCCTCAGTTGGGGGCTCCCAGGAGAAATCGTCGACTTCTGGGGGAAGAGAAGCACAAGGAACCAGGGGTCTTGCCGGAGCTGACTGACCACCGTACCCCGCAGCCACAACCCCCTGCAGCCCAAACGCTCACCGGCACCGTTCAGGGCCATGTTGCCGTTGTCGCCGCTGTACTCACCGGAAGTGACGCACAAGCGAAGCGCCTTTTGCTGCGGCACCGCCCCTTCCCCATCAGGCAGAGAAGAGGATGTGACGCCTAGTCGTGGTTCTCAGACTTCTCTGTACCCAGAGTCGGGTGTGTATGCTGTGCACTTGACTCTGTCCTGCAGGCGCGTCTGGCAGCAGGAATCCAGTGGTCGGAAACTTTCTACTGGCCGGGCCTCGTGAGAGGCGTCCCCGTGGTAACTGTGTTCCGGTCGCAAGACCTGGAAGTGGCTTCACAGGGTCAACCTTCCGTCGCGGTTAGAAGGGACCACTTGGCTTGAGAAATTTCCCCTGGCCTCTGTCACCGCAGAGCTGGAGACATGCGGAGTAGTGGCGTCATCACAGTCACCACCTCCGTAATCATTACAAATGGCCTTTTGCAGGCGCGAAGGGCCTTCTCAGGCTTCAGTGCTTCTAACTTCGACTAGTTAGGCAGGCCAGCAGGAGTCATTCTGGCTTTTAGCCTATTTGAGGATGCTTGCTCTTCTGCAAGTTTCGTGTCCCCACCTGTCACCTCCCCCGCCCTCAAGCTCACCCCCACCCCGCCTCCTGAGGCCTGGGACTGAAGCAAAGTCTGCTCCTAAGCAGAATATTTTTAACGTCTAAGCTCTCAAAAAGCTTGCTGACTGGATAGCGCTGTGCTGGGTATATACAATCCCTGTCCCAGGCGCAGCTGATGATGCACGTTGGAGAATGCGGATAAGGGCTTATTACATGTACAGTAGAACCTCCATAGTTGACCACCTCCCGCATTGACTACCTCCTTAAAATAACCTAACTTTCATAGACCAAACATATACCACGTGTACTCATCAGTACAGTAGGCCTAGCTCCTTATGTTGACCACTTCATATGTTGATCAGTTACAGTCCTTTGGGTGGTCAACGTCTACTATGCTTATGACCCTTAGGCTTTTAGGTGAGCTGTAAGTTAAAATTACCAGTGCAGTGCGCCCTGAACATTGACCTTGCTGAATTTTTTTTCTCTCTCTTCTTTTTCCATGTGCATCCTCTCCCATATTAGGTTCAGAGAAGCCAGATGGGGTAGGCAGGCTTCCCCAGACGCAGATGTGTGATCTGCTGGGCCTAGAGATTGTATACCAGAGCAGTGGAAAAGAAGGTGGGACTCAGACTTCCATGATCTCATCAGCAACATCCTTCTTTGGATACTACATGTTCTTTCAGTCTTACCTGAAGTACTCCCCTTTTGATTCCATCTTCCATAGACCACCTTGAACTGCCATTTCTGATTCTTGTTGCCTCCTGCTTATTTAAAGAGCCCTGTGCCCCGATTCACACTCTTTTTTTTTTTTTTT